GAGCTACAGCCCCAGCCCCAAAGGTATATTTCTATAAATAACCCAATAGAAGACAGTAAAATCTAAGTTATGTTGGGGAAGACTGTGCACCCCATAATACTTAGGCAATGAGGAACCAAGGCAGGGACCTTGTGCACTGGGGTACAACATGCTGATTGTAACCATTCTGGGGTCTGTGACCACCTGGCATTCTATTTTGCAACACTGTCATTAAAGTCTCAATTTTTTTCCCCCTGTACCTATGTCTCCGAGCCCATTCTTTGGATTTGGGTAGGTGAATGTGTTTCTCACAAATCCCTGGTACCAAAAAAAAAAAAAAAAGATAATTGTTAAAGACAGGAGTATAGAGTTAAAGTTTAAGTTGGAGATGTTTAAAAGAAAGCCCTGCATGCTTTGTACTTAAGATGAATGGTAAAAAGGCCTCTGACTATATCTATTATTCAAGATAAACAACAAGAAAACATCAAGCAGATGCAAGTAGATCTGACCACAACCCCCTGAGAGAAAGTAATGGGCACTTTCATTTAAATGCATTTATTTCCATGTTAAAAGATATGCCCAAGGGGGAGACCCAGTACAATTTTAGGCACATTTTGAAATCTGTAAACATTTTTGAGTGTGTAAGTTGATGCAGACTGCAGGCAAAGTAAGAGGTAACCCCATACTTATGAATATGTTAATGTCTAGCCCCCAAACATGTGTGTGCTATTCATCCCTGACTTCCCTGCTACTCTGCCTTATGGCATAGCCACCTTGTCACCTTAATCAATTCAATAAGTGATTCTTTCTTTTATTTATTTATGTGGTGTTGAGAATCAAACCCAGTGCCACATGCATGCAAGACAAGCGCCCTACCACTGAGCCGCAACCCCAGCCCTCAATAAGTGATTCTTTATAAGCCTCTCTTTTTTAGCTCTGTTTAATTATTTTTTTATACTGCAGATTGAACCCATGGGTTCTGTACCCCTGAACTACATCCCCAGCCCTTTAAATTTTTTTTCTAATTTTGAGACAGGTTATGCAGGCTGGCTTCTAACTTGTTATCCTGCCTCAGCCTCCTGAGTCCCTGCGATTCCAGATGTGTGCTGCCACACCTGTCTCTGTTTAATTTTTATCCTGCATGAGCTAAAGGACCCACAAAAATAGCAACATGTGAACTCATTTAGTATCCTAGGACTGAGGGAACACTAAAACTGTAGGGTATCTTACACTCCCCACCAACTGACCAAAGAGGGCAACTCAAGCTCAGCATTTGCCAACCCTGATCCTAGCAACAGAGAGCAGCCCAAAAGGCCCATTCTCCCCTAGGTCAAGTAGAGGTCCCTCTGACAGCAGGAGACAAATCCAACACCAACAGGGAGGGAGATGGAACAGGAGCCCAAAACAGAAATGGCCATGCGGAAGTGGTCTGCTTTCCCGCTGAGGCTCAAAACGCTCCTCTCCCAGCAGGGGTTCCCAGGCAGCCAGGCAGAACCTGTAGGAGGAACTCAACCACAGCAAGAGGCCAGGCCTGGAAAATCTCTTACTTTCAAAGCCTTGAAGACATGAGACTTTTGAGACTTCCTTATCCCAATGGGAGGCACAGGGCTGGGGTGAAAGAAATGACCCAACCTCAGCAGATGGACTGATTTAGAAAACTTGCCAAGAGATACTGGGAGAGATAGGAAGGACCAACTGAAGGGACCCAGCTACAAACAAACATCCTGACAGGAAGTCTCTTTGACCTTGCATGGCTGAGACTCTTGATGTCTGCCTAGACACATGGGTAGCAGGAAGGCCATGGTAGAAGGATCCTATCACAACCCTCCACCATCAAGAAGCACCTGAAGGCCTGGCCTGTAGAAATTCCCCCCAACCACTCAGCAAGTGGGAGTCAGAAAGACACCAGATAGACCAGGCCGACAAAAATAACCCCACAAAGTCTCTAAGACGGAAACTGCCATTGGAACCACAGCACAAAAAACTAGGCCAAAACCTGCATGCTAAACCTAAACAGGGTGACTGCCTGCTAAAATTAGGAATTTAAATAGGACCCAGAAGGGCTGGGGATATAGCATGTGGTAGAACACTTGCCTAGCATGTGTGAGGCCCTGGGTTCAATCCAGCACTGAAAATTAATAAATAGGACCCCAAGTTTCCTAACATAATAGACAAAATGATAAGGATATATCTTAAAAATTAAAAAGAGAATTATCATGTAGTCCAACAATATATAGCCAAGCAAAATAAAATCAGTATGTCAAAGAGACATCATACAGATTATAAAGGAAGAAATAAAACTGTCCCTATTTGTAAATGACATGTCTATGTTAAAATGACCCAAAAATCTCTAGAGGGCTGGAGACTTGGCTTAGTGGCATAGCACTGCTTAGCATATGCAAAGCCCAGCAATGCAAAAAATTCCTGGAGGCTGGGGGTGTAGCTCAGTGATAGAGTACTTGCTTAGCATACACAAGCAATCCTAAGTTCTATCCCCAACACCCCCCCCAAAAAAAAAATCCTAGAAGTAACCAGGATTCAGTGAGGTTGCTGGGTATAAACCCAACAAGCAAAACCAATCACATTTCTATATACTAACAATAAACATATGCAAACTGAAATTAAAAATACAATATGGGCCAGGCCTAGTGGTACACGCCTATAATCCCAACAGCTCAGGAGGCTGAGACAGGAGGATCAGGACTTCAAAGCTAGCCTGTAAGGATCATCTGCCATAGACATGCTGGGACTCACTGACTCACTGGCCATAAGGAACAGCAGCCATAGGCATTCTTAGTCTTGTCTGGTTGCAATTGATAAGGAGCTGTAAGGGGCACTAGCTATAGGCACACTTAACAATGACTGGTTACAATTGATAGGGAGCACAGTTCCATGGACATGCACAAAGAACATGTCCTATTACAATTACATCATCGCACTGGACATAACCAATGGACATTGACTTTCACTGGGTGTAACCAATCACCAATGTACACCACCAACTTGGAACTATATTTAAATCACTTGTCCTGCCACATCAACAAGGCTGCTCCAAGGACATCAGTGAGACTGGCTGCCTTGCTATCCGTCCCCAGATTGATCCCACCATTCCCTGACATCCAACTGTTGGTTGGAGAGAACCACCAGACAATGACAATGTCTGCTCTTTGGCTAAGAGAAGTCCCCTGGCATCAGAGGTATTTTGGGACTTGTGGTTGCCCTAGAATTGTGTGACTTGCTTCTGGTATTAATTAGTGTGCATTAAATGCTAGTCGGGTGCTCTAGCACACGCAACACTTTTTGCATTAATTGTTTAGGTTTGATGATTGGTGTGATCAAATATACACTTGAATTTAAAAACAATCTGCCTCTGAGTAATTATTAACAGCGCCGCTTGAGACACAGCCTCAGCAAAACCGAGGTGCTAAGCAACTCAGTGAGACCCTGTCTCTAAATAAAATACAAAATAGGGCTGGAGACGTGGCTCAGAGGTCAAGTGCCCCTGAGTTCAATCCCCCCAAAAAAATACAATATGTTTTTTAACTGGTCCTGAGAAAACGAAATACTTGGAGCCTGACACCATAGCACATGCTTGAATTGCTGTGACAACTCAAGAGGCTGAGGCAGGAGAATCACAAGTTCAAGGTCAGCCTCAGCAACTTAGCAAGATCCTGCTCATAAATAAATAAATAAATGGGATGGAGATGTACCTCAATGGTCAAGCACCCATATGTTCAATCCCAGGAAACAGAAGGAAAGAGAGAGGAGGGAGAAATGAAATATTTGACACCTAGATGATAGAAATTTTTAAATGTTGATGAAATAATGGAAGACCTAAATAAATGGAAAGGCAATATAAGGCTCATGTATTGGGAAGCTTAACCCAGCTAAAATGTCAATTTTCCTTAAACTGATATATAGGTTTAATGAAATTCCTATCCATATCCCAGCAAAAATTTTTGTAAAAAAATTAATAATAATAATTTTCTCAAATCAACATGGGAAAACAAAGGAACCAGATAAGTAAAACAATTTTGAGAAAGAATAACCAAATGGGAAGAATCACTCTATCACTCTACTCAACATTAGAGCTTACCATACAGCTACATTAACCATGATACTTTGCATTTTCATTTAATTTTCAGAACCTTGCAGTATTTTTTTTGTTTGTTTGTTTGTTTGCTTGGCCTATCTGGTGCTTCCAGGGCTTCCACTTGTTCAGGCTGAGCTGCCCGAATAGGCAAAAGGGATTTTGTTGTTGTTATTGTTGATGGACACAATACTTTTATTTTTAACTTTATTTATTTTTATGTGGTGCTGAGTATCAAACCCAGTGCCTCACACATACTAGGTAAGCACTCTACCACTGAGCTACAACCCCAGCCCTGGTAGAAGGGATTTCTACAGAGTGTTTACGGGTGGATGCATACACACATAAATCAATGGAATAGAACAGAGGTGTTTTTTTTTTTGTTTTTTTTTTTTTTTTTTAGCACTGAGTAATTGAATCCAGGAGTGCTTTACCACTGAGCCACATCCCCCAACCTTTTCATATTTTATTCTAAGACAGGCTGTCACTAAGTTGCTGAGGGTCTTGCTAAGTTGCTGAGGGTCTTGCTAAGTTGCTGAGGCTGGCTTTGAACATGTGATCCTCCTGCTTCAGCCTCCCAAGTAGTTATAATTATAGGCCTGCATCACCATGCCTGGCTGAATAGAGAATTCAGAAAAGGCCTCCCACAAATATGACCAATTATTTTGACAAACTCACAAAAACAATTCAATGTAGAAAGATTGCATTTTCAATAAATAGTCCTAGAACAAATCCACATCCATAGGCAAAGAAAATGAACCCCAATCTAAGGCTTGTCTTACATATAAGTTAGCTAATGCAGAATGTAAAATGTAAAACTACAAAATTTTTAGGAAAAAAATAGAGAGTTCTTAAGTTTGACAGAAGAAATATGATTTATAAAAGAAGAAATTGATCAATTGCATCTCATCAAAATTAAAAACTCTGGATTGGGGGTGCAGCTCAGTGGTAGAGCACTTCCCTAGTATGCATGAGGCCCTGGGTTCAATCCCCAGCACCCTCAAAAAATAATAAATAAAGATAAAATAAAGGACTGGGGTTGTGGCTCAGCAGTAGAACACTTGCTTAGCACGTGTGAGGCCCTGGGTTTGACCCTCAGCACCGCATAACAATAAATAAATAAAATAAAGGTATTGTGTCCAACTATAATTTAAAAATTAAAAAAATATATTTAAAAAAAAGATAAAATAAAAGCCCTTATTCTGTGAAATCTTGTTTGAAGATAGAAGATGAAAAGATGAGTTACAGATTTGGAAGAAATACTGGAAAATTACACAGATCTCACAAAGGACTCATTTCTGGAATATATAAGGAACTCTCAAAACTCAAGAGTGTAAAAATAAATAACCCAAATAGAAAATAGGCAAAAGATACAAAGAGACATTTCCCCAAAGAGGATAATATATACAGATGGCAGATATATACATGAAGTGATGTTCACTATCGTTAGCTGTATACAAGTTTAGACCATAACCTCCACATATCAGAATAGCTGAAATGAAATAAAGTGACAACACCAAATGCTGTCAAGGATAGGAAGAAACTTGATCATTCTTACACTGCTGGTGGGAATGTAAAATGGAACACCTATTCTGCCAATTCTGGGTTTGGTTTGGTTTTCAGGGCTGGGGATTAAACCCAATGCCTCTAGCATGTTAGGCAAGGGTATGTTTACTCAGCTGCACCGGAACACCATGGCACAGACACTCTGGGAAATAGTTTGGCTATGTCTTATAAAACTAAACATGTAGCTGGGCATGGTGACATACTCCTGTAATTCCAGTGACTTGAGAGGCTGAGGCAGAAGGATCACAGGTTCAAAGCCAGCCTCAGCAATTTAGCGAGGCACTAAGGAACTTAGTGAGACCTTGTCTCTAAATAAAAAATAAAAGGACTGGGGATGTAGCTCAGTGGTTAAGGACCCCTGGGTTCAATCCCTAATATGAAAAAAAGGAAAGAAAGAAAAAGGAAGGAAGGAAGGAAGGAAGGAAGGAAGGAAGGAAGGAAGGAAGGAAGAAAACTGAACATGCAATGCAATAATTGCATTCTTGGGTATTTATCCCAGAGGGATGAAAATGAAAATGTATGTTTACACAAAACCTATTCACAAATGCTCATAGCAGCTTTACTTGTAAAAGCCAAAAACTGGAATTGGCCCAGATATCCATCAAAAGGTATACTGTTGGGCTGGGGATATTGTTCAGTTGGTAGAGTGCTTGCCTCACATGCACAAGACTCTGGGTTCAATCCCCAGCACCACAAAAAAGTGCACTGTTAAGAAAACTGGTATATCCATACTATGGAATACTGCTTATGTATAAAAGGGGACAAATTCTCGGTATATACAATGGAGTGGAATGCTCGGTGAAAATACTCAATCTTAAAAAGTTATATAATGGGGGCTGGGGATGTGGCTCAAGTGGTAGCGCGCTCGTCTGGCATGCGTGCGGCCCGGGTTCGATCCTGAGCACCACATACAAACAAAGATGTTGTGTCCGCCAAAAACTAAAAAAATAAATATTAAAATTCTAAAAAAAAAAAAAAGTTATATAATGTATGATTCTATATGACATTCTCAAATGACAAAATTGTGGAGATGGAAATCATATTAAATGTTGCTAAGAATTAGGGACTAACGTGGCATCATGTGGAGTGGACTATAAGGAAAGCATGAAAGAGATCTTTTGTATTCTAATTGTGGTGGTGATTAAACAATTTTATAAATGTGACAAAATTGCATCAATCTAATCATAGATAGACATAAAATTTTAATTTTTTTCCATACTGGGGATTGAACCCAGAGGTACTTTACCACTGAGCCACATCCCCAGTCCTTTTTATTTTTATTTTGAGACCAAAACTCACTAAGTTGCTGAGACTGGCCTTGAACTTGCCATCCTCCTGCCTCAGCCGCCCAAGTTTCTACAATTAGTTTGTACCACCACATCGTGCCCAACTCGCCCCACACAGAAATTTTAAAATTCGTATCATTTACTTGAGAACTAAGTTGATAAACATTAGAAAGCAGGTTTAACAGGTAACAGTCTCTAATAATTCTCCAAATAAGATTAAAATGTAAACAGGACTTATTAAAAATATGAAAAACAGAAAATCGGTGAAGAAATTTTAAAGGAGATAGACATCCTATTACTGAACATAGACCCCCATCACCCTACGCACACTGCCCAAAAAGCTCATCCCTCACCACATAATTATGCCTTCATTTTTCCCAAAGACTCACACTCTACAGGCAGTAATCACAGCCATGAATAAGCTTATCACTGACCACACACACCAACCACAGCTCATACTCCAGATTCATTATCACTCACCTATAGCCCCTCCATTACTCATTCACAGAAGCTCTCTCACACACATTACAACCCCCATCACTAAATGTACACACTCCATCATTCACCCCTATGCCCTCATTACTACTTAGGCAAACCTCCCCATTAGTCACTCCATATCCCCTCACTTACCCCAGAAATCTCAATACTCAGCCCAGACACCTTCTATTTTTAATCTACAGACACATTTTTGGGGGTACTTGGGATTGAACTCAGAGGCACTCAACCACTGAGCCCCATCCCCAGTCCTGTTTTGTATTTTATTCAGAGACAGGGTCTCACTGAGTTGCTTAGGGCCTTGCTTTTGTTGAGGCTGGCTTTGAACATGCAATTCTCCTGCCTCAGCCTCCCAAATGCTGGGATTACAGGTGTGCAAAACTGCACCTGGCTCAGAACACATTCTTCACACTGTCTACACTATCACTCATCCCATAGACACCCCGCCCCCTCACTGTCCTCAGAGACTACTCAGCATTCACCCCACATACTCCCATCAAACTTTCCATAGTAGCATGGACTTTATTCATTTCTGGTACCTCTGTGTTATTGTAGGATAGAGAATAAAGCTTTGTCCTTGGGTGGCTTCTTGGTGGAGAGTTGTTATTTCAGGTGGTTCCCATTTGGTAGAACAGAGAAAAGCTCCCTCTCTGCCATCATTTGGGGTCATCTATTATACAGCAATAGAAGACAGAGAGCTATTCATATACAAACATAAATCTATATGATCTCCATATCTGCTGATTTTGCATCTATGGATTCAACCAACTATAGATCAAACACATTTGGTAAAAACTTCATCTGGAGGCTTAGGTGCAGTTCAGTCTTAGAATGCTTGCCTAGCATGCACAAGGACCTGGGGTCAGTCCCTAACACCACAATTTTTTTTTTCATCTGTGCTGAATATGTCCAGACTCTTTTCTTATTATTATTTAAACAATACAGCATAGCAACTATTTGTATAGCATTTACATTACATTGGACATTCTAAGTAATCTCTGATGATTTAAGAGGTATGGGAGGATGCCAGTAGGTTCTGTGCAAATCCTACTCCTTTATGGACTTCAGCCTCAGTGTATTTGGGAATCTGCAGGGGATCCTGGAACCAATTTCGTAGGATACTGAAAGATGACTGCATGATCAGATACACAAAGATAAGAGGATAATGTTACATATAGGCAAATTAATTGCATGGTTGCTGAAAGCTCAGTCTTTGTCCCCAAAGCAAATCCAATAATGAGGACACCGTTTTGAGAAAAAGGTAAACGAAAGTTTATTGCTTTGCTAGTGTAAGGTCCTTGCTTAGCATCTGGATGACCATCTTAAGTCACAGCCACCATTTTAAGGAAAAAGTTTCGCTTTCCTGCCTAAGGGCTTTTCTGAGAAAGGCTCACCACTCCCTCATACCAACCTGTCTCAAGGGGGCAAAATTGCTAAGTATGTAGTTGAGGAGAGAAATAAAGAATGTCCACACGCTTCTGCCCCTTTCAATGCTTTATTCACTCAAATTACTCAACAGAGTTTCACTCTATTGAGTTTCACTCAACAGAGTTTCACTTTATTTCACTCTCTTCTTAATCAAGAGAACAGCCATTCTTAATGCTAGGCACTGCAATAGACATAATCAATGCACAGCAAACAATTCTAGATTAATTCTAAGCACTGCAAAACACACTTAATCATGACAGGCTAGTGACAGACATTCCCTCTGTTGCTAAGTTCAAAAGTCTTAAGCCTTAGGCTTTATGTCCAGCAGATGCACACTCACTCAGACCGCAGTGACCAGGTCCAGAGCCAAGGCAGGCTTTTCCTGGCATGGAGTGGACGACCGGTTGAGGAGAGGGTAGTAGGAAGAAGTTGCGGGTCTCACCAAGGTCCAGACCAGGTGGTAGAGTTTGAGAGCAGTGAGGATTGTGCAGAGGATCAGGAAACAATGACAAGTGATGGGATGTTAGGTCCTCATCAGTCTCTCCAGCTCGAGTGCATCCTTGTTTCGGCTGGCTGAATCCCTGTTCATTGGCTCTATTCTTTATACTACATTTTGGGGCTTTTGACCCCCCTTTCAATCCTTATCAGCTACCACTGGATTTCTCCATGACATTATTTACCCTGGGGTCAGAAACATCTGGTCTGGTGGTCTCCACCCTGATCTTCTTGTCTTTCCCTCTTATCAGGCCAAAACAGCCTGCCAGGGGCTTCACTCTGTTTATCAGGGTGAGGGGAAGTAACTTGTCTGAGGCCACATTGGAGGGCTCTGTGGGTGTGCCTGGTGAGACTGCAGGTTTCAAACTGGAGTTTTTAAAATGGAGTTGCATAGGCTCAGGCCTAAGGCCATCCTCAAACAACACAACCCTTAACTGTGGACATTAGAACCCACCAGGCTGTGATTCCTGAGCTTCCCCCATAAAAGTCCCAAAAATCAAGCCTGTGTTGCCTCTCTCTCCTATAGAGAGATGGCCTTTGTCAGCTCTGACAAATAAACTCTCATGTGTATCTCTGCCTGGTCTCTGTCTTTCATTTCTCTCTTACCCATCTCTCATTTCTTGCTTTCCCTTCATTTTGGTGCTGAAACCTGGGATCAGGTTCCCTGGTGTGCCCACTCCCCTCTTCAAGGGTCATTGAGCATCTCTGGGGCCCCAATCTGGATTCCATCATG